CCACCCCTATTCTTGTTCTTATTTGCACTTTGGCATTGTGATCTTTTTTGCGCCATTTTAACATCTGAGGCTATACATGGCACTTGTGCGTTGGCAGGGACCCTTTCTGTCTCTGTTGTTTTGTTGAATTCTTTGTATGGGACAAGCAAAATGTAAGAGCTACACCATTTAAGGTGGAATATAAAATTGTAATGAGAAGCTGACGAGCAAGAAACAAACTGCAAACAGCAGTGCCTTTCAACTCAGCTCTGAGTTTACGCTTTACTCACGCTGGCAAGTGAAAAAATAAAAAAAGCATTCTAAGCATTCAGAAAGTAAATATGTAGCTTTCAATAATGTAAATTCACAGTCAAAATTACTTGTGAACATGAGCAACTTTAACACTTGTCTAACCCACTAGGATACCTGCCCTCGTGAGGTTGAGGATGGTGTGGTTGAACACCACCACAATATTTCAGGTTTGCAGTGAAAGCAGGGGTTAAAAGTTGAATGAGCACGTGAATATACCCCAGACATAGCACTTTCGATTTCCTCTCCGCCTAACCACAAGACTGTCAGAGCTGCGTGCACTATGCCAAGGAGAAAACAGACCACTTCCTCTTTCCAAATTGAAATTAGTAGCCGGAATATGACCAGAGAGATGTGATGAAAGCAATGTCATACTGTGGAATTCTGACAGTATTCATGATCAGACCACAGACTAAAGAGCAATGCCTAAATCCTGTGATTTCATACGTTATTGGATGGACAACCATCCTTAACCATTGATTTTCCCTGCACATTTGGATGTCTATGTATTAAATTATTCTTTATGAGTTCAGTCTGTCTTGCTAAAAGCAGCTGTATTACAATCCATGAAAGATCCACCCAAAAAGAACCCGTATGACTTTTTAGAACGCTCTGCTTCACGTGTATTTAAACCTGCGTGTGGAAATTGAACAAATGTCCCTCAGTGCAATGATGCAAGCCGCCATGTGATATTTTGGCCAATCGAACACAAAAGGAAGTCTCAAACAAAAGATGCAGAGCTCTGTTTGGAAGCCTGTGCACAACACAGTGTACAAACTCAAACCACCACATCTTATTTGCTCAAAAGACATTTTGTTTTGCTTCAAAACGTCAAGGCTTCCATAAAAGTAAGAACTCAGAGCCTAGATCAGGGCTTTTTTACAGTGCTACAGTTTTGACTGCATTTGTGACTGAAATATCTTCTGTGCAAAGGATATTCATTCACTCGCACACGTGAGATTGCACTGCTAACATTAAGTTTTGTCTAGGAAACAAACGTTTGTTTGTAGGATCCCCTGTGGGCGGGGCTAATGTTCAGTGTGGAGCGTGGAAGCAGACTGTTAACCAGTCCAGTGCATGCAGGGGTGGGACAATTCATACATGTAGAGAAATGCTGGAAATTAATGATTAGCCTATAGAAAATGATAATTACTTCATAATAAGCACATACACTTAATCTATAAAAACAAAATAACAAGAAGTGATACATTTATTCTAAACAGTTGTGAAGCTACCAATCACACGCAAACTGCTTTTTTGCTTTTCTGTCACAGCTGTGGAAGGTGCTCTTAATAAAGGCAAATACATAACAACTGAGGGCAAGTTTGACATGTGGCGGTCATTTTCAGTTGTGACTTATGCAGATGGAAACCAGCTATACCAGACTGCGGGTGGGAGCGGGACAAAACGTTTGGATTGCTAACAGTGGGTAAGCTAACAGTGACACAGGAACATTAACTAGAGTAAGAAACACTGAAAAGATATTTTTTAACTTTAAATGTTACGCTGACAAGCCAACATCTTGGCAAGTCATCCACTGAGGAGAGAAAACCCTGTCAAGAGGACGACAAGTCACACTTAGCATCTATTACTTTACCTGTTTACGGCTGATGTTATCTCAAACGCTAGCACAGCTGGTGGGGCTGCCTCCTCAACTGACCAAAAATAAATAAAAATCTACCGATTTAACCCACAAGAGGTAAAAGATTTTCCTTGATTTTCCTTTATTCAGTATGTTCTGTTGGTACTGTCAAGCAGCAGGTGAAAACCTGAGAGGCAAAACACCCTGAACACTTAAGAAGGGTGGCTCTTCAAGAGCTCCTTACTAAACAAAATGGTTCTACATAGAACCATGAACACTCAAAGAACCTTTTACATGACTAAAGGGGGTTACACTGCACAGCAAATGATGGCTGAAGAAGCTGAAATTCGGCCAGATCATAAAATCCGGTCAGCTCTGACCAAATCAGGCTTAAAAACAAGCTAAAATTGCACAGCGTATGCCCCGCTTAACGTGATGAACTGTGCACATGCAGGTAATTTCAATGTGTTTACACTAATGACAGATATGGGTCACTTAAAACATAATTGTGGACAATAACAAGAGCAGATCTGAGTGAAAAATCTGAACTGTGCAATAAGGCTTGTAATGTGAATGCAGCCTTATAAATAAAGATCAAAGCAATGATGTGATGACATTATACTGGAACAGTGTCGAACTGACCAAATCCTCAATGCCTTAATCATGCACTGTACATAATATGAAGACTAGAACTTGTAGGCTGACATCTGGATTAGTACCGCACAAACAATACTCATCACTGACCATGTCTGCTAGCTGTCAATTTTAAGCCTTGTAATAATGTACCCATCAGCGTGACCAACAGGACTCTGTCAGTAATTCAAATATGCTCTATTTTTACTTTAGCTTGCTTCTTTCACTTGCTTTAATTGATTTTGCATTCACTTTGTATTTTCATATACTCTGCATTATAATACCTATTTTGCCAGTCACTCCTCTTGGCTAAAAGAGCTTACACTCTGTCTTCCGATGACAACACATACACAATTTTAAAATGTAGAAACTGGGAAGAGATCCACCTGGCAACATTTGCTTGTAAAGGGTCTCTCTCACACACACACACCCACACCCATCTATGTCACTTATCCTTCTGGGTTAGAGGGTTACAAATGCAATAAAATGAATAAAATGTAGACATTTTAGCACAGCAACCCAGCATCTGCTAAACATTCCTATCAAACTACAATTGACAAACCATTTATAAAGAGGCAGATATCAAGCAAGATCTGATCATGTGTCTGTTTTCTATTCTTTTATTTTCATGGTGGCGAATGTAAGAGCAACAAGGCACTTATATCCCTGCAAATTTCTGTACAAAAAATGAAAACTTGCATGTGTAATTTTGTGCCACTGCAGTGTGAAACCAACCAAATAAAAAATATACAATGTCACAAAAAAAACAATTCTACCAACCCATATATATATATATATATATATATATATATATATATATATATATATATATACACATATATAGCTGTGTGTATGTGTGTGTGTATATATACGCTATCCAGCACAAATCTAAGACCATAAAATCCAGCTACACAAAGGGATTCTGACCATGAATTGGAAAACAAAAAAACACTGCCAAATAAAAAGTGTAAGGCTGATCTACACCATTTGCCTGTATCCGAGTTCATTATGACTGTGCTGAATGTGGTCCATTTACCTGTGGAGGGTAATTGCTTTCAGACGACCACCTGGAAGACTGGTCACTGGGCTTGTCCACCAAAATGTTCCTGCGGGTAAAAGAAAGCAAAGCATGACCAAATCTGATATTTGGTAACATGACTTACAATACAGTTACAGAGCAACTATAAATTTGCAGAAAATATTACACTTTTGCTTTAACAGCATGCAACTTAAATTAGAAGTGACAGCTCAGTACAGTACAGGTGGCACTTCACTATGTAATAAAGTGAGCTACACTCACGCCAGCTAGTTAGCATGACAATTATATATATTAATACATTCCTGTTTAAGCTTTTGGTCACATTTAGGCCACGGTTACACAACTTAATCTACTAACTTGTGTGATAATAGCCTACAGCGGACAAAAATAGACAGCCAAACGCTAGCCACTGCTTAAGGTGTCACGTTACTCCTCCACTAATAGCAGCTCAGTTAGCTAGCAACATCCGTGGAGGACCAAGAATAAAGTAGGAGGCTGAAAGTGGATTCCTATTCGCCAGCTTCTTTCTCAAATTCTCCCGTTCCACCTTAAGTGACGCGCCAGAATGTAACGGCTGCACCTTTTTAAGGTGGAACGGGAAAATTCGAAAAAGAAGCTGACTTCAGCTTCGTAAATGAAGTCGAGGCTGATGTCAGTTCTAGCTACGGATATATTCTAGCCTGTGGCCTAAGCTCATGACTAGAACTGGTGAGGTTAAAAAACAAACACTTTACGATAAGAACGTTGCATTGCTTGAGCACGCTAATTAACTTAGCTAGCTATATGCTGCTAAGCTAACGCTAACGTTAGCCAGCTAACTTGGCTGTCAGTTTGCCGATTCCCCGTCAGGCAGAACGCTTCGGGTAAAATAAGATGCAAAATGCATAATTTGGTTAAAAATCCATTAACCGACCAGTATGTTTTCCTATTTAACTAAGCACTTTACCTAGCTTGTGTCAGAGCAGTGCACCAGGTATTTAGCTAGCTAAGTTAGCCTGCCTGCTGATAGTCTATATTGAAAAGGCTATGCTGCTAACTTGGCTAACTGAGCTCATTTAAAAAAATAAACAGATGTCTGAGGAACAACAGCACAGCACCGCTACAGCAGCAGGTCGATATGTCTGCCGGCTAAATGCTTTTAGAAGCAGCTGCGTGGTTTGGTGAGCTGACCAACTAACAGCCAGCCGACTAACACAGGAGCTGGCTGGTTTAGCAGGTGGAGCAGTAACGTTAGCTACTTGGCCTCTTTTCCAAGTTAGGCCACGACTTTAATATTCCGCGTTGATTTGACATCCATGTTTCAAAGGTGCGAACAACAGAGACGCGACCGGGTTTTCGTGGCGTTACTCACTCTGGTAAATATGTCGAGGAGTAAGAACTCCATTTATAAACACTGTAGGAAAGGACTCTGCTCTCGGGAGCCACCGCCATCTTGTTGCACAAATAACAAGTAGCGCAATCTACAAGTATAATAAAGTGGGAGTGACTCGCTCTTAAAGTGAGACCGCGTTAGAAAAGCGGACCAGGCTTCTCTGGAGATAAATCTCTGTCTGCTACGGAAGGACCTTTTTCCGCAGCTGGAGAAAAATATATATCCGTTTAATAGGTCATAATAATTACAAATTCCAGAATTATGATTTAGCATCTCATAAGTATGACTTGTTGCGTCATATTAATGAGATTCTATGTGATAATTATGACTCAGTATCTCATAATAATAACTCAGTGTGTCAGAATAATGAGATAGTTTCTCATAATTATAAGAAAGGAAGTTATAATTCAGATACTAAGTCATAAGCATGACGCAGTAAATCATAATTAAGAGAAACTGAGTCATCATTATGACATGCTAAGTGTGTCAGAATAATGAGATAGTTTCTCATAATTATGAGAAATTAAGTCATATGAGATGCTAAGTCATCATTCTGAGAAGGTAGGTCGTAATTATGAGAAAGTAAGTCGTGAGGTGCTAAATCATTATTATGAGATGCTAGGTTATTGTTATGAGATGCTGCGTCATAATTATGAGATGTTAAGTCATAATTATGAGAAAATAAGTCATATAAGAATACTAAGTCATAATTATGGAAACATCCTCATTGTTATGACTAATAAAAGTACTGTTACTCTAATTAAATAAAGACTATAGTAAGAACAAATATGACTTGAAGTAGAAATAATAATAATAATAATAATAATAGTAGTAGTAGTAGTAAACTTTATTTATACAGCATTTTTCATGCAGTAGCAACTCAAAGTGATTTAAAAACTTATGATAAAGGAATATATATATATATATATATATATATATGTATATATATATATATATATATATATATATGTATACACACACACACATATGTATGTACAGTAGTGTGTAAAGAAAGGGGAGGCCAAGTTTAAAATGGCAACAAGCTTTTTACGATCTTAACAACAAATCGTTGGTCAGTAAATTAAATTTTTCCCCTTAAATGTCGAAGTCTTTTGGGTAAACCTGCAGACAGCCTTTTACAGAAGGAAGAGTCAATATTGTTCCACTCAATGGCCTCAAACAGTTGATGAGTAATTGAAAGACTTTGCCAAACTAGTTTGTGTTTAATGTGAGACCAAATATTCTTTATATAGTTTAAATCTGGACTGGATGTGTATATGGTTCATATATACTCATATACAGTGCCCTTCACAAATATTAGCAGCCCTGGTAAACAGGCTGTAATTCCCTATTTAGGTAGTCTTTATTGCTCATCCTTTTGATCTTTCATTCACAATAAAAATCTAACCATTTATTTTTTAAGTACATAGTATATTTCAGTAAACATCCTACTTTTCACTGCACCTGTTAGTAGTATCTGCATGAATGTGTTGTAACTTGTTATTCTGAAGTGAGAGAAAACTCAGTGACTCATATGTACAATTTGTGCGCGTGTGTGTGTGTGTGTGTGTGTGTGTGTGTGTGTGCATATGCAAATTAATTCAAATTAATGCAAACCAGTCCTATCACACCTTTCACTAATCCCGGCCCCTAAATACCGACTGTCCAATCGTAGCTTAGCAACTGTAACTAGGCCTGTACACCTCTGATAAGTTTTCCCAACATGCCAAAATGTTCTGTGAGGAATCATGTTTTAATCACACACCAAGCAATATTCTAGCAGTTTGAAGAAGATGGAGTGAAATTTGACCAAGAGCTGTAGGATATAGATTAAGAAAACATTGCCTCTTAAAACTCACAGAGAACAGGTACAGGTAAGTTGGCTAGCTGCTATATACTGGAGCTTCTCCCTTTTTGTTTAGCCTCTGTCCCTATACTTTGAGCACATTGACGCTGGTGAGAGAACACATTAGCTGCGTTCCAAAAGCTAGACTGCAGCCAAGAAAGGTGAGTCTTCAGTAGCACTGTGCTATGAAGGTTTTTCATTTGCATAAGAAAAAGAAGCGGTCCGTCAAGGCCACTTGTCATGTCATCGGAAAGGAGTCAGCATGTAGAATTTTATGGTGAAAATACCACTGTTGTGAATAATAGTAAGTTGGCAAGCAATAGCTAATGTGAATGATAATGTAATGTGGCAGACAAAACATAAATTTGTGATTAAATCATATCCTGCAATCTAAAATATATTCAGCTTAGGTTCATTTCATACCCTGCATTTGATCAACACCATTTTCAATAGGGTACTGTATATTTTACTGGCCTTTTAAAACAATGTATAATAGGAGCTTTCATCACCTGCCATTTCTCTTTGGTTGTGTTCTAAATCTCCTGCTACATACTGTTCGCGTACTGATTGTGCCAAATATTCGCAACTCTGGCCAAATATTCCAAGTCAAGTCAAGTCAAAGTTTATTTATATAGTGCTTTTTACAACGGGTGTTGCCAAAAGCAGCATTGCAGAAAAATCCGGGCCCGAGCCCTCACGAGCAAGGCAATGGCGACACTGGCAAGGAAAAACTCCCTAAGACTAAGAAGAGGAAACCTTAAGAGGAACCAAGACTCAAAAGGGGAACCCAGCGGGTGGAACTGGCGACGACAAAATTGGGTAGATAATTGGGTTAAAAAAAAATATATATATATAAAAAAAAAAAAAAAGGGGAACCCATCCTCCTGTGGTCGACACCGGGTAGCAAACAGCGTTAGTATAAAATATTAGAATACGAAACAGGGAAAAACAGGTGGAGAAATGGTTAATTAGATAGTTTGAGTTTATGCAGCAGAAGCAGCAGGAGGGTCAGTTCATGCAGGTGAGGTGCAGATCAGCCAACAGAGATGGAGCTCTGGTGACTCACATGTGGTGACTCAGGCAGATGTCGCTCAGGGGCTTATATAAAGGGAAAGAGAGAGAGAGAGAGAGAGAGAGAGAGTGAGAGAGAGAGAGAGAAATTGATTAACATGACAGGTCCATGTATGGAGAGACATTAGTGAGTTAATAATGCAACAACTGATATTAGCAAAATGCTTGTGCAAACAGATCCGTTTTTAGAGTCTAGTTTTAAAAGTAGAGAGTGTGCCTGAGTCACGGACAGAGGTCGGGAGATGATTCCACAATTTTGGGGCTACGTAGAAAAATGCTCAACCACCTGCAGTGGTTTTTCTAAATCCAGGAACTGTCAGCAAGCCATTATTTTGTGAGCGGAGCGTACATGTGGGTTCATATGATTAAATTAATTCACTAAGATACTGCGGGGCCAGGCCATTTAATGAGTTATACGTTAAGAGAAGGATCTTATAATCTACACTAAATTTTTTTCTGCACGAAAATTCCAGTATCCACCCTCAACACAATCTCTTCACACTTCTCCCATCTGGCAGGTGATACAGGAGTGTGAAATCAAGGACGACCAGATTACGGAACAGTTTCTACCCGCAGGCCATCAGGACTCTGAACACCTCACACCCAGTGGCCTTCCTTCCAAACACATCACCTCGTACTCAACTGACATAAGCATCTGACAAGTAATGTGGTCCCAGAACCCGTCCCCACCAACCCCACACCCATTTCCTCTTTCCCATGAGATGACTGCTAGAACATTACACACTTTCACACACAGCAATGTGCAATTCAACAGTAGCTGCTATGCAATACACTGCACAATTGCACGAAACCACACCTGTATACACTGGCAATTTCAGTGTATCAGTTTCTATATAATAGGACTGTTTTTTTTTAAACTGCGCATATGTATATGCACACATACATACATACATGTATATGTATTTATGCTTCTTTTATTTAGTACTTAGTATTCATATAGTGTTTGTATAGTAACTTGCAGTCCAGAAGGTATATTGCAACTGTCTGTTTCTCTGTGCATATGACAAACTCTTAAATCAGAACACTCTCTGATATACTGAATCTCAAAATACAGCAGCAGGAAATAACCACTGATGCAGCCGCCAGGTGAGCTCCAAACACTCTAATAGCTCCCGATTCAGCCTTCTATGGATACATAAATGTATTGAAAGGAAATACTCTGTCCTGCTGCTGCACTCAGTGCAGTGCGGAAGCCCCATCAGATTACTCTGCTGGTCTTGAGCTGTATCTGCTATCTTCCTCTATTTAATAAAGTTAACTTACAACATTGTTAAAACAGTAACTCACAAAAGTTGGTCTCAGCCAAACAATACACACAGCATCAGCTTTTCAGGCTCACATGTCACGAGTCCCGCTGCTTATTATTCAGTCAAACTGGATCGTATTACCAACTATGAAAGTGAAGAGAATGAAATGTTTACCTTTTTGTAAACGCAGAAAAACATAAGTGTCTCTGGAAATCATACAAGTATACCACACAGCCGAATCCAAAGCCAACATGTTTAAAGTTTATTTTATTGGCTTCGGAGATGAGTTCAGAACAACATCCTCCACTCTGCCATGGTATCTCTCAAAACTCATCAGGCATACACAACTCTGAACCAAAATATATCCACACATGCTAGTAAAGAGATGCGGCTAGCAATGGTTGCTAAGTAGTGGTTGGAGGGCTAGGAAAAATGGGGTGGGTTTTGAGAGGTCTGCTTAGTCTGATGCACAGCTTTTGTCACATACTGTATACTGTACTGTATACCACCATTAAGAGTATAATGCATTATGCAGTGTAAACCGATGCAGTGTACAGTATACATACTGCATGCCATAGCTGCCATGGTGTTCTCCATAGCCTGCCACCATAGCAGCAGTTTTCAAGGGGATGACAGAGTTAGTGAATGGTCAGTCAACTGATTTGTTAGACCTTATATAGAAGCAAGAAAGCTCGCTATAGCCATATATATCGCTCCTGTCAGAACAAAACCTTGTGTCCCCATTTTTGTTTTTCAGTATTTGTATTTGAAAATACCTGTTGCCCTTTACATTGTTTGTAAATTTCATGATAAATGGACTAAAAGAAATGTCCCAAAATGACTTGGAAAAAAGTCTGGTTCCACTGACTTGCATTGAAAGTAAAGTAGGTTTTTTCCCTCT